AGAATAGTGATGAGGATGGTGAGATCGAAGAATGTAAAGTGATTGAAGTTGTCGAGTCTTCCTTCGACAATGACATGATTACTTCTTCGTCTAAAGACCCTTTTGATCTATGTGTTCAAAAATCATTATTTGCTTCTTCTTCGTTTGATTCTTTTCAAGAAAAATTATTAAAATGTGTTAATGTGTTGGATTGTTGTAGGGAAGTCCCGAAGAAGCAAGCTGCATTTTTGGAGTTGAGACGTGATGAGCCGGGACCAAGTGCAAGTCAAGGAGAGAAGAAAGATGGAGTCCCGAAGTTAGAGCTGAAACCTTTACCGGAGCACTTGAAGTATGCATATCTTGGAGAGAATGACACGTTTCCGGTAATCGTTTCTTCTTACCTTTCTAATTCGGAGCTTGAAAGATTATTGAGAGTCTTGAGAGGGCATAAATCGGCGATTGGTTGGTCGATTAGTGATTTAAAAGGTATTAGTCCCTCTATTTGCATGCATAGAATTTTGCTTGAGGATAATTATAAGCCATGTGTTCAAAATCAACGTAGGCTAAATCCAATTATGCAAGAAGTAGTAAGAAAAGAGGTCCTTAAATTGTTAGATGCGGGGATGATTTTTGCTATTTCTGATAGTGAATGGGTTAGTCCTACACAAGTTGTGGCTAAGAAAGGGGGGATGACTATTGTGAAAGATGAGCATGATGGTGTTGTTGCTACTAGGCTTTTGACAGGTTGGCGTGTTTGTATTGATTATCGTAAATTAAATGCCGCCACTCGTAAGGATCACTTTCCTTTGCCTTTTGTGGATCAAATTCTTGATAGGTTAGCGGGTTATGATTTCTATTGTTTTCTTGATGGTTATTCCGGATACAGTCAAATTTTGATAGCTCCGGAAGACCAAGAGAAGACGGCTTTTACATGTCCTTATGGTGTTTTTGCTTATCGTAGGATGCCTTTTGGTTTATGTAATGCTCCTGCTACCTTTCAAAGATGTATGATGGCAATTTTTCATGATTTAATTGAGAATATTATGGAGGTGTTTATGGATGATTTTTCGGTGTTTGGTACTTCATTTGATAATTGCTTGGCTAATTTATCTCGAGTGTTGCAGCGATGTGAAGAAACTAACCTTGTTTTAAATTGGGAGAAATGTCACTTTATGGTGAAGGAAGGTATAGTTCTTGGGCATCGTGTGTCTTCCGCAGGACTTGAGGTAGATCGGGCAAAAATTGTTGCCATTGAAAAACTTCCACCTCCTACAAACGTGAAGTCGGTAAGGAGTTTCTTGGGCCATGCGGGATTTTATAGGAGGTTCATTCGTGATTTTGCTAAAATTGCTAAACCTCTTAGTATATTGCTAGAAAAAGATGTTGCATTTGATTTTAGTGAGAAGTGTTTGCAGGCTTTTGAGACACTGAAGAAGTCCCTCGTTAGTGCTCCTATTTTGATTGTGCCGGGTTGGGAGCAACCGTTCGAGTTGATGTGCGATGCGAGTGATGTAGCCGTGGGGGTCGCTTTGGGCCAAAAGCGAGATAAACTCTTTCGAGTGATTTATTATGCGAGCAAGACGTTGGATCCAGCTCAAGTAAATTACACGACCACAGAGAAGGAGATGCTAGCAGTGGTGTATGCGTTTGACAAGTTCCGACCCTACCTTGTTGGGACGAAGACAATCGTGTTTACCGATCATGCGGCAATTCGACACCTCATGGCGAAGAAGGATGCCAAGCCAAGGTTGATTCGATGGGTGCTCTTACTTCAAGAGTTTGATCTGGAAATTCGGGACCGGAAGGGATGCGAGAATGTTGTGGCGGACCATTTATCTCGATTGGAGTGCCCGGTTGAAGGGGATGATCGTTTGGTCCCCATTAATGAAGATTTTCCGGATGAGCACATGATGCACGTTCGGGCCCACCTACCTTGGTACGCCGATTACGTGAATTACTTGGTGTCGGGCGTACCACCTCCGGATTTGTCCTATTATGCGAGGAAGAAATTCTTTCATGATGTGAAGTTCTACTATTTGGACGAGCCGTATTTATTCCGGAGGTGCGCGGACATGGTTATTAGAAGGTGTGTCCCCGAAGAGGAATGGGGAGAAATCATGAGGCAATGTCATTCATCACCGGGTGGAGGTCACTTCGCAGGAAACCGAACCGCCATCAAGGTGTTGCAAAGCGGCTTCTATTGGCCGTCCATTTATAAAGATTGTCACCGGTTCGTGTTATCTTGTGATAGGTGCCAACGGACGAGAGGAATTTCTAGGCGAG